ATATGATTCTATATGATAGAGTAGTGAAATTCACGGAGCTAGAAGAATGGTGGTTGCCAGGAGCTGTGGGGAAGGAGAATTGGGAGTTAGTATTTAATGGGTACAGAGTTTCAGCTGGTGAAGATGAAGAAGGTCTGGAGATGGTTGGTGGTCATGGTTGCACAACAATGAGAATGTACTTAATGCCACTGAACTATACATTTAATACGGTTAAAATGGCAAATGTTATGTATTTCTAACACAAAGAATATATATTTATATATGTGCAGACAATATGAGCAAATAAAGTCCGGCCCTTTGACAGATAAAATGGTGTGAAAAGTCATCAGAAACAACTTAAAAGAGTAACTTTTTAAATTATGAAATATTTCATACCTATAAAACTAAATACACAATATAAGTATTAAAAAAGCAAAACAAACATCTAGGCAGCAACCATCCAGCTTAAAACATAGAACATTACTAATAGTCCCGAGACCCTTGTATCCCCCTAATGACAACCCTCTCCCTCCTCCACCAGGGGTAACCACCATTCTGAATTTGTATTTATCATTCCTTACTCTTTTTTGTAATATTACACATGTCACCACAAACAATATATTGCTTTTCCACCTACCATGGTGAGACTACTCCACAGGGATGTCTGTGGCGTTACTCATTGAGAACTGTTGCTATTGTCTTAACAATTAAAGCTTTCATCATGATGTAGTGACCCTCTTTATTCCTAATTGTCCATTTTGCCCTAAAGTATATTTTGCCTGGTATTAGTTTAAGGCATTTTTGCCTTAAAGCATCTTTTGCCTGGTATTATCGGTTATTATTTACTTATTTAAACCTTTTTACCTTGAGTCTTTCTGTGTCTTTGTTTTTTTTTTTCAGGTGTACCTATACCTATATTTTAACTGGCACATTTAAGCCCGTTTATTTTTATTGTGATTACCGATATGTATGCACTATTTCCTACTGTGTTATTTGTCCACTTTTCCTATGTCTTCTCTGCTCCTTTCTTGCCTTCTTTTTGATTGATGTTTTTTGTTTTCTAAAAAAATTCATTTTTTCCTCTCTAAAGATTTAGTGGTTATATTACCGTTATAAGTTTTCTAATACTTTGCAAAGTCTAAAATTAATCATTATTTTATCCTCCTTTCCTTCCAAATAAAAGAAAATGGCCCAAACAGATGAGCAAAGATGCATCCCGCCAGAGCTGCCGGAAATGCTGAAGAAGTTTGCCAGAACCGCCATCCTGGCGCAGCCGCAGGACCTCCTCCAGTTTGGGGTCGAGTAGGTGCTCCTTTCTCGCCTTCACTCCTCCTTAGAGCACCGGCCAGGAGAAAGGGTCCTGGACAACCGCGGAGGTTGTCATGGCTGAAGCCAGGGTCGGGACTAACTAGCATCATCTTTGTGGGTTTTGCCCTCGCATTGCTTTGATGCTTTAAAATCCACACATAGATACTACATCTAACTGGGTGAGGATGGGATGCCTCCCCTAAGCGAACCAGATTGACAAATAGGACGCCAGGTCAATAGGCCGTGTCCTGGGGCAAGTAGAAAGAGTTAGATGATCGTGTGACACCAGCATATGCACACCCACCTCCTCCCTGCACTGCTTTTCCCAGTCCCGGTGGAAAGAAGAGCTGTAATCTCCAAAGCTTCATCTGCTTTTTCTTCGTTCTCTCACCACTGGATGGCAGCAGTGCAGCCTGGGAAGGGAAGCTACAGCCCTAGGTGGATTGAGTGGGACCAGTCCAGCTAGTTCACCCCTTTAAAGAGACACTGCCTCTTCTGCTGTTAAAACTCATACTTGGACCTAACCAAAGATACTTTGTAACTTGTTTTAAGGAAATTATTGTTATTTAGTGTTTCTCTGAACTGATTTGTTCTGCCAACATCAAGATGTCCACAAAGTACACGCTGCATTTTGGAGAAAGGCCAAGCAGAGCGTTGTGGTCCTCAGGCATGGCTGAAAACAGTGCGCCTCAAACACTAAACACGGGTGCCTTCTTTCAGGAGGGACCTCCAGAGGCTGCTCAGTAGATGAAGCTTACACAGCAATCTCTGCGGGCCAGGCATGAAGCAGCTTTCCACAGAAAGCCTCTCAGCTGTGAAATTGCTTCTTAGACAAACTTGCCTGCTTAAAACTGGGGAGCTAGAACTTGAGGCAGTAGTCAGAAGATCACTAGACCTCACAGACCATTTTCAGGCTGTTTTTACTGTTTGATGATTCCCTGCTTAGAAGGGTTTCAGTAGGAAAGGGAGAGTAAGGGAGACTGTTGACAGAAAGCCAGTTAGTTGGGGAAACGAAGATGCCCTCAGCCTGAGGTTGTGAGTTGGTGCACTGCGCAGATGGTAGGGAGAAAGTGTGGACACCTTCGTGAAGATACAAAATGTCACCTTAGAGGGGCCTTTCAGAGTCTCTGAACCAGTGCTGTCGAGTTCCTGGGCTAGATTAGGATGTAACTTTGCAATTACAAGGAACACAAGTCAGTGGTGCTCATAAAAAGAAACATAACTGGGGCTGCTTTGCCTAGTAATGAGCCCTGTTTAGTTTTCCTTTATAAATTTTATATATTGCCTCTAAGATTGAACTTTAGCATCAGAAGACTAATTTACTTTGGCATAGTCAGATAGATAGACTTTATCTTATACGTTAGTTTCAAATCCATTTCATTGTTCTTGTGCTGCTGTTTTATAGTAAACAAAATGACATTGCTTAGTATTGTCCCTGACATTGAGGTAAGAAGGCATTACACTATTGTAGCCTCCTTGCTTGCATATTGTATCAATGCTATAAATTTTTTAGACATCCATGAAAACTTTTTTTGTAGTTTAACCACAGTGAAAAAGGAGAGCATGACCTAAGAGCCCCTCCATTCTATACAGACATGAAAAGCACCTCTCAGATGGTTTTATGTGATTTTCTTAAAACCTGTAGCATTTTAGAGAATAAAACTTCTACAAAGTATTTCCCAGACAAAATATGTATTTAATTCATTGCAAGTAAGAAATTCCCTACATATGTGTTGTCAACAAAGAAACCTCTGATCAGCCATTGTCAGAACAGGTACTTACTTGTCCTCTGGTGGGCATGTGTTACAACACAAAAACTTTGTGGTTCACGGATCATCAATAACCAGGCTTTTGATGGAGACAGGTCCTGCCATACAGCACTGGTGACCCATGTCAACGGCTCATGTCCGTTTCGCTGCTGCAGGCAGCCTCTTTTCATCTTATATCAATGCTGAAACAGAACTCCGTACTTGTTCCACATTGCCCCAAAACAAAGTCCACTCCACAAAATATTGAGGAGCAGGCAGATTTGACTGAAAATTTTGAGGGAAGATAAACAGTTTTCTTTCACAGGCCCCATGTAACTTAAGATCATCTCAAACCTTCTTTGGCTTGTCTTCTCTCCTGAGCCTCGCACAGTGCCCTGCCAACCCTGTCTCCCTTCCCTCTTGAAGCCCCGAGTCTCACCATCTCCAGCCAGAAACCCTTCCAGATTCACCCCTAGGACACTTCCATCTCTTCCCCTTCCCTCCTTTTTTGTTTCTTCAGAGGTGGAGGTCTCACTGTGTCACCCAGGCTGGAGTGTAGTGGCACAATTACAGTTTGCTGCAGCCTCAAACTCCTGGGCTCAAGTGGTCCTCCAGCCTCAGCCTCCAAAGTCACTGGATTACAGGCCTTCACCACCATTCCTGTGCTGTCTTCCCCTTTCTTATGTTCATTACTTTAGTTCTCTTCCAACTTCTCTTCCCAAGATTACATGTACATACGTAATATATTATCTATCTGTGGGTACTAAACACTCAGTTATGACTGGAAAAAAAAAAACTTGACCCCAATATGCTCCAGAGAATTGCATATCCAAACTTTTGGTTCTTCCTCATCCTCAGAGAAGAACAAAGCTTTGTATTCTCAAAGCATTCTCTATGCCCTAAGAGGAAAGTAACACATTCAGGCTTTTCCCAGATGTAAATGAACTAAACACACTGACACACAGAAGCCACTTAACAAGGGTTCCCTTCTCTACCTTCTTCCCTCAGAAAAAGGAGGAAGGATTGCTAGAACAGCCAGAGGCCACTGGCGTACAGGATGCTCCTCCTACTCTCTGTTTTTCTTGTAGTTATTTTGAGGCCCTGTGCCGTGGAGAGAGTCCTCCGGTGAGAGAGCAGTCTGAGCAAGTCAGTTTGTGTAACTGGGCAGAATTAACACCTGAGCTGTTAAAGACCCTGCATTCTCAGGTAAGGGCCCTGCTGCAGCATTGAGGGAATGTAGGGACAGTGTTGAGGCTGGGTGGGTACAGACAAAAGCCCACTGTTCTTCTGCCAGTCAGCTGACCACTCAGAACCACCATAAAATGCACTAAACCATGGACTGAAAGTAAATCTTCCCTTAGAGAAATGGGGATAATTTTGAAATAGGCTGTGGGCTGAGTCGTTGGTGGGGTCATCCCAGATTTCCTTGAAGCTGGCAGAATGTACAGGGGTTCAATGCAATGCTAATCCCATCTCTCCATAAAAGTGCAGGTCCTCAGTCACTCAGCAGTGTCTCCCTTCCTGATCAAGACCAAAATATGATGCCAGTCACAGTTTGGGGAAGGGCATATTTTAGCTCCCCAACTATCCCAGGTCCAGATATAGTTTTTAGCTTTTAGGGAGAGGCTGTAAGCCTCTTCACAGCCACATCATCCCAGGAGCTGCTTGGTGAATGGATGCACGAGGAGGGTCTGGCTTGAGAAACTTTGTGGTTTGGCCAATTACCAGGAAATATGGTTGGCATCACCATACCCTGCTTTATGATCCAGGATAGAGAGGTTTTGGGTGATTTAGGACTGGCTTGGCCAACTGCCTTGGTCCTAGAGGCTTAGCATTTCACTAGAATCAGAGGGTCAGGAAAGGTGTTGGAGCACATCGTTGGGCATCTGTGCCCTTGTTGCACTGGTGGACAGCAACCACTCACCCTCTTGCACTTTATCCACCAAGTACCTTGCGCAGTGATCATGACAGAGTTCTAAAGTACCCGGGATCAAGCAACAAAAGGCATCAAGACCAGATCCCCATGGGTCAGCCACATACCCCATATCATTCCTGGGAAAGCACGAGGGATGCACTTGAGGTCTACAGCTAAGAACTCAGTGCAATGAGGAAGAAACAGACCTATGTCTTGCTCTGGTTTTACCATTAATTAGTGGTCTCAGGTAAGCACTCTACCTCTTGGTTTTGTTTTCAGACTGTTGTCATATAAGGAATAAAACAATTTAGGAATATGATAGCAGATAAAAGCATCATAAGAAATTAAAATATAAATGTGTATCTTTTGCACAATTCTGACACCTAAAGTTTAAAAATTAATATATTATATTTCAGCACTGGGATTTGCAAAGATAACTGCCACAGAGAGCCATCTTGTACCTTCCTAACACCCCCTTCCCGCCCCTTGCCATGTATTGGGAGATGTGGACCTGGCCTGGGGGCAGGGTGTTCCCCAGGGTCTTGTCTCAACTTCTCCCACATCCTCTGTGTTGTGTCTGTCTCCTGACCTGCAGGTTGCCAGCAGACTGATCATCTGTGCAGATGAGCTGGCCCAGATGTGGAAGGCGCTGAATCTTCCAACAGATCTGTTTAATAGTGTGATGAATGTGGGTCGCTTCACGGAGGAGATTGAGTGGCTCAAGTTTTTAGCCCTCGCTTCCAGTGCTCTGGGAGTTGTAAGTTAGCTTGATGGTTTTTTGTTCCTGAAAGGGAAATCTCCCTCTGGGCCTGGAAGGGCAGTGCATCTGTACACAGGGTCTATTCTCCAGAGCTGATGATAAACATGCCTCTTCTCATCTTGTCCTTCTCCTCTCTAAATCAAGGTCATTTCAGTGCTTCCCAGGCAGAAGCAGGAGTTAGGAGGAGGAGAGAGAGAGGGAAACACTATCATCAGACTCTAGGAAGAGCTGACTATAGTGTAGCTTTGGATTATTTATGAATATTGCCCTGAGATTTATTTTAACTCCACTCCCTCCATTCATATTCCCAGAGACAAACAAGAGCCAGCTGTAGAAAAAGACTTCCAGACACCTAGAATATATATATCAATAGACACTTTTAAAAAGGGGTACAATCTTATAGAAAGCTACTGTGTAATAGACAGAATTGGATGCAAAACTCAGGCATAAGAAAACAAAAAAAGGAGAGATGTGGCTATTTCTGAATTTAGTCATGACGTCTCCATGGATGCAGGATGTTCATACGGATTCACACCTTTTCCAAATTTGACTTGTTTGGTATTGGAAAAGACATTTTGCTGTTCTGAAGCAAAAGATTCTGAAATCAGTTTATATGTATAGATATTGAAAGCCTGAGTATCTTATATGTGGACTTCCATTGTTAAACATTGTTAAAATCACTTAAAATGAATCAAAAATGGGTTTTTTTAGTAGAATCCCTGAGACACATACAAGTTTGAAGTTTTTTGAGAGAGTAGTTGCCTCTGCCAAAACCAAATGGTATGAAAAGGTAGTTCAAATCATTCACCATTTCTAAACATCATCTTGTTCTTCTCAAATATGCGTGGAATGCATATTTGACAGTTTTGTTTCTGAGAAAATATAGCGGAAATATTGTAGCCCAACTTTTCCTATAGATTCCCCTACAGCCTTCATAATAATCATTTCTTTAGAGAGAAGTAAACAAAAGAACATTTGTGGCTCTTTTTTTCTTCATTGTCCTTTATAGCATTTATATACTGAATAAATCACTATCCTCCAAGGAGGAAAGGAAAGTTAGCAGCAGAGGCCTATGAGTTTTCAATCAGGACTGGGAAAAATCACAAATGAGAAGAAAGTGGATTTATTTTGTTAAATTCTCATAGGGTTACAGATTTTTTCACCCCACATTTGGAAACATTTTGGGGGAAATGTACCTTTAAAATTTTATCTGTAATTAATTCTGATCTTCTTGGTCTACCTCACCCACAAAGGGTCAAATAAGAAAATAAATAAATTCAGTCTAGTCCTGAAATTTTAGTCTAATGCAGTAACTGAAACAGCCTAAAGGTAAATTTCCTGGTGTTTCAGGTTTTTCTTCACCGTGCTCTCTTCTCCAAGATGGCAGCTGAATGTAGACAGAGAGAGGTGACTCTAGGACCACAGAGCAGTCAAGTGAAGGGTTTCCCACATCCTCAGTCTTCTCTGGCATCTCTGGTCTCCATGGCAGTGCCCATCTCCCTGGTCAATAGCTGCTTGCAACTTAAGTGTTTGGTCTCATCTCTACCAGATTGGTGAAAACCTGACGATGCCTCCCCAACTGGCTCATTTCAGTTCTCAGTGGTGTCCAGGGCCTCCTTGAGTCTCTGTCAGGCTCACCTATCTGCTCCCTGGCTCTGGTGGTTTACTTCACAGCCCTCACCAGTTAGTGATGTGTCTAAATCCTTCCCTTATCCCCATACCTCACAGTAACAAAGAGTGACTTTGGAAAGTCAATTTCCAACCCTCCCTCTACTTAGCCCACTGTGTAGATGCTAGGTTTCCTCTGCTGTACCTGTCTCCCAAACTGCAGAGGGGAAACCGTGAGGTGAATTGTATCTTTTTACTTTCCTTCTAAAACAGGGAGGTGGGATTAAATGTTATATGAGGTTCTTCTACTGCTGACATTCTGTGATTCTATCCTCAATTCTCTGCTTCCTCTGAGATACCCTCAGACCTACCTCTGAATAAAATAAACACACGCAATACTTAATATTTTTTAGAATGAATTAGTGACATTTGAATGTAAAAATTTCAAGCTTTCTAGAGTCTTAAATTGTTCCCACTTCATTTTATAAGAGCAATATTTTTGTTTTCTTTCTTGTATCTAAACAGATCTCAGGACTATTGCCTGGAAGAGTAACTTTCTCCTCATTTTATCTAACTTTTATAGACTATCACCAAAACTCTCAAGATAGTGTGTGAGGTCTTATGTGACCATGATGGTGGGCCACCCCGGATACCTTTCAGCATGTTCCAATTTCTCTACACGTATATTGCCAAAGTGGATAGGGAGATCTCTGCATCACATGTCAGCCAGATGCTAAGCTACATTGAGCAGGAAGTGTAAGTTAACTTTTACAAAGGAGAGGTGAAAGAATACCAGGATAACAAATCTAGTGGCCCAAGATAGAGCGAGATTATTATATTTTACTGCTCTGGGAACAGAAAAGTATTGTGAGGAACATGAAATATGGATCTCAAAGAAAAGGGGAAAGGGAAGGAGAAGAGGAAGGAAAAGAAGTATATAGGACAATAATTCCTTGGGTGCTACTGAGACCAGCAGTAGTGACAGCAGCAGCACCCGAGAATATGTTAGAAATGCAGAATCTCAGGCTATACCCTGGACCTACAGAATCGTAAACTCTAGGGGTGGGGCCTAGGAATCTGTGTCTTTATAAGCCCCCCTAGTACCTCTGACTCACTCTTCGCTATGACCAGTGGAACAGAAGTGGAGCAGGAGGAGGAAGAGGAGCAGGCAGTCAAGGGTAAAGAGAAAAGGAGGCTGGGCATGGTGGCTTACACCTGTAATCCCAGGATGGGTAGACGGCTTAAGCTCAGGAGTTCAAGACCAGCCTGAGCAATATGGTGAAACCCGGTCTTTACTAAAAATAGCTGAGTGTGGTGGTGTGTGCCTGTACTATTTAATTGGGAGGATGGCTGGAGCCCAGGAGGTAGAGGTTGCAGTGAGCCAAGACTGCACCACTTACTCCCCCCCGTGGATGACAGCCCCAGCGCGGGTCTGAAAAAAACAAAGTTAAGAGAAAAAGGATCAACAGCAGAATTTTAAATGAGAGAGTTGTTTGTATATTGTCTTTCTTAATTGTCAATGAACTAACTGTAGATAAACCTTTTTCCAAACAGAATTGGTCCTGATGGTATAATCACAGTGAATGACTTTACCCAAAACCCCAGGGTTTGGCTGGAGTAAAAGCACAATTTTGGCAATTTTAAGGGCAGATACAGAGATGACTGTACTTCAGAATGACTGAAACCCTTATACCCTCCAAAATCAATTTTCTTGTACAACTGGTACACACTAATAAACAATTAAAGAAACATATGAAATCAGAAATGTATAAATTAAGATGTGAAATTGTTGGAACAAAACACGTTAATTACCAGATTAGTATTCCTCCCACGTGGACACTGAGTAAAAGG